TGTTATCACGCCATCGCGCCGACGCGGGCTGATCGCGTTGGTTTGGCCGAACCTTTGGTGTCTATCTAACCTATTTTTGTACCTATTTTAATTTCATCTTTCGAAGTATTTTCGGTCTACATAATTTTCGGATCAGTACTACATAATTTTACCTTAAGAATAGAGGCGTATTGACAGCAGAAATTAATTCTCCAGAAACACTTTTTAGGATCTGTACAAAAAATATAATATGATTAACGTTTGTAATTAAAAAAGTAGTCTTAAATAATGGCAAAGAATGAAAATAATGAACGACCCATTGAAATGAGACAGCCAGATGTCGAATATATTTTATAAGGTGCTAACTATCACCATAATACAGGGTGGAAATTTGTAATGCCACCTGGAGGGAAAGTTCTCTTCATATTGTAGATAGAAAATTTTTCTCAAAGAAAACATTCCTTTATTTTTGAAAAGAAATAGAACTGCATTCAAAAATTTCCAAAAATTTGCTTGCCACACCCGGGAATCGAACCAACTAAAATCTGTTAAAAATTACACCCTGTATTTTTAATGCAACGATCGTTAGGTTTAAGTATAAGGATGAAATCTGTCTAACAAAATTTATAAATCAAATGAAAGGAAAACCATGAAATCTTATTTTTTAAAATTATGTACAGAAAATTGTATGTATGGTAGTGAATTTTCGAAAAAAAAATCGAAGATCTTTGAATGCAGTTCTCTTTCTTTTCAAAATAATGGAATGTTGTCTTTAAGTAAATTTTTCTATCTACAGTATTACGAGTAGTTTCCCTCCAGGTGGCATTACAAAATTCCACCCTGTATAACAATTGAGGGACCACCCTAACTTGGAAAAATGCCAGAGAAGTCCGAATTATTTATTCCGTTTTAGTTTACTAAGCTACTTCGATTCTTATCAGGTGACGACAGATCGTTTACGCAAGTTTCAGATAGAGATCTTACTGTCTCACTCGAAAGCAGTAGATTAGAAAAGGACAAATAGTTTTCCCATTAAGACACAAAGTCTGTTATTTTGACACCAAATCCGACTAGAATGTTCTTTTAGGACAGCCTTAGATTGTTTTAATGTAATCTCTCGTTTGTTTAGTCGCTCCCCAGAGTCAACTGTACTATAGATACGAGTAAGTATTAGCACAGAATAAATAATAAGTACTACGTACAGAAGTTTTACTTCGCGAAGGTATTTAAAAAAATGTATGCTCAATGTCATTAACAATATGGTGTAATTTAGCTTGTCTCAAGAGTCAAGCACCATTTTGTTGACAAACGTCAGTCATCGGCACTGCGCCGAAGCTATAGGGCTGACTTCGGTAAAATGATGTGACGTGAGGTGCCAAACTGCGGAAAATGGCGGAGGAAATACATGATTTAGCATGAATTATCATGAATAATATTAACTACTTATTTACCTCTCAGTTTCTTGAGGCAACTTAAAAAAGTACATTCTGTGTTTTTATTATTATTTAGGCAGTTAAATACTGCACAGTATTAAGTACACCATTTTCTTTATTTTCTTCCATCATACACAAGAATACGCGTGCGCGAGTCAATGTTTGCTCGTATGTGAGGCCTTGTCGAATAGTATCCTGTAGGTGGGCCATCGAGCGTGTTTTGTTTTCGATGTAAACTCGCGGAGATGAACAGGCCTGGTATTAGGTATGTAGACAAAAGACCACTTTGTCACATCACTACTTACATACTAGGGTTTGCTTTACTACTTACTTTTGTATCAAGGTTACCGCTAGACTATTATAGTAAACGCACTTGTAACAACAGCTTATGCTCAGTTAACTCTAGGCCTTTCTCTATTATCCTACAATTGCCAATTTTGAAATTAACATCACATCAAACTATAATTTTTTTTAATACAAAATTTTTTTTTACATTTTTTTTCATTACAAAAGTACTTAAGTAAACTAACAGGGTTTGGAGTTTCCTTTTAAGCATACAGTTGCTATACTTTCTGTAACATCTATCATAACTAAATAAGATGCCACACAGTCTTCTTTTATGTGCGTTCGTTTATAGGTACTTTACTTATGTACTGGAGCTAGTAAAACCACGATCTATTTCCCATAAAATAATTTCCCTAACCATAACAGATCGTTGTTTTGACCAGCCAATTTTTTCACAAGGAAATGTTATTCAGCAACACAAACTCACTCGACATGATAAATTGTGTAATTTGCAACTGCTGCCTCGGGCTGGAACGCAACGGAACGCAAACGGTACGCAAACGGAACCGCGGGAATACATTCGTATCGGTAATATTTTCCATACATCTTCCGTTGACGGGTAATCCCATTTGAAGAGTCTCCATGTCTGGATGTATTTTGATGGTTGAAAGACAGATTTCCGATGTAATGAAAACGAATAAGTACTTTGCTTGTGTTTGATTGATTTAGAGATTTTTGTTTTAAGACATACCTACTTAGTTGAAAATTCTAGTCATTTTAAAATCACTATTTTTCATTTTACTTAAAATTGATACAGTTAGATAGCACAATTTATGCAATTTTATCTTATCTCAGAGAGTATGTATGTAGAGACATACTACTGTCAAAAATTTCAATAGAATAATCTTATGTAAGAGACTAAAATTATTGTGCCACTATATCAAAAACTACAAAAAAATCGTTCGTTTCAGCAAAATGACGTCCACTGTTGAACAAAGGCCTCCCCAAGGACTTCTATAACGTCGCGCTGCATGCGTCCAGGTACTTCCCGAGACCTTCACCAAAAAAATCAATCAACCAGAGAAAAAAACAAGGTATCACAATAAAATATATTCTAATAAGATAGAGAAAAACTTAAACACATCAAAGAACAATGCTGTTTTACTTCTAAATTTCAATCCCGGCGCTGTCATTCAGCGTTAGCCTCCGAAATCTCAATCCGTACCCATTCGTGCGTCAATCCAATCCTCTCACTCACATCTTTCCATTATGTAGATACGTAATACCAGTACACTCCATTCGAGTAGGAAGCCTCCGACTTAATTGTCCGTAAAAGTAAAAAAGGCAATTTAAAAAGGGATCTCAGAAAAGCGCACTTACTACTCCGCGGGCTTTAAGAAATTTATAGCGCTCGCAAATAATCTTTCGTTCAGTTTTCTTGGTACAAAACATTCTTTGGCAATACTTAAGGGCTTTCCTGATGAGGACGCCCTTTTAATGGTGGCAAATTAGCTGGCTTTGTTGTGAAGTGGTGCCCTCAAAATTGGCAAGTTATGTTTTCGTTACTAAGCTGAGACTTTATTCAGTGCCCAAGTCTATTTTTCGAAATAAATGTACGATAGGTATTTACGAAATTAACATTAGACAGAAGAATTTCCAAAGTTATTAATTCTTGTATTTACATGAGAAGATTTTTTTAATAGAATCTTTATTTACAATAAAAAGAATTTTTTTTTTAAACTAAGGCAAACTTAACTCTAAACAAAATAAAAATATAAACTTATTTTACTCAAAAATAAAAGTGTGTCCGTGAGGCAAAGAGGCGAGGATGCTGGCTGCATTTCCTCGCTGAATGGCAATACTAAGCCTTTTTTAAATTGTGTTTATTTTTCAATTTATCAATCTTATGATCAGGACTGGGAATCGGACCGATTTAAATTATGATCTCAAACAGTAATTCGGACAATCAAATATTGCATCAAATCCATCAGAGCAGAAAACAATATTTATCTTTAAAGCCAATATAGTTCAGGCCCTCAGAGTAAGTAATTAATTACTATATAGATTTTAAATCGCTGCCTATAGAGGTCTACTTAAATTATTATCGAACTAATACTAAGTTGTCAGACAGACAACAAAAGTTCGCAAATCTATAATACCCAAAGGATATCATTATTATTATTATGTTTGTACGCTTTGGAGCTCACGGGTCAAAAGTGGCCCGGTCCTTTATAAGGCTTGCGTGGGGATACAGATCCAACACGTAGAGGCCGTTTTAAGCGCAAAATAATCGACAAAAGTGAAAGTGGTGCACATGCTGGATCTAGTCTCTGACTATATCATGGGATGTAGCCAGAGACCATCCCCAGCCTGTGCACAGGAGCTATTGCAGTTATTGGAGAATGGACTAGGGTTATGGATGAAGGATGGATGGACTGGTTACTGGGCTATGGATGGAGACTACGGGACACCTGCCTGGTTCATAGTCTCGGACTGAAAAAATGGCAGGCGGTGACTAGCCAGCGACTAAATGGGCCCCCCCTGGCGTCATGGGTCGTATAGACCGGACTGAGGGGCAACATTGGCGTCTGCCAGCTCAGGGGTGTAGAGAGGTGTGCTGCGCTTTCTCCGAGGTTACTCGCGGCGTTATGCCCTTTAACACTTCCACCCCTGGAGCATATAGCTCTAGCGGGCCCACAGCAGTCGGCTGGTGCTCTTCAGGCATTTCTCAGTCAGCGATATCCCACCACGAGCTGAGTCGAAGTATATCACCTGATTTATCATGACTTCCATATTTCGTCTTAGTTTATCCTCACCTGATAGTACATGCACCCTAGTGGACGAAGGAGGTGCGTTATTGGGNCCCCGCGTAAAACAGGTGAAGGTCGACCGCAATACCATAATATAATATAATAATACTATGTGTAGCCCGTTAAGAATCACATACACACAGTAAGTTTGCAATATCGCACTAAGTCTTACACTCTCTCGAATAAAGATTACCATAGGACAATAAAAACTTATAAAATGGCAATGCCAGATTTTGTATGGAAAGTGGCGTCTTTTTTTTTTCGCGCGGCCATCGACCAAACTTTGTTTTTTGATTACAAAATAGTGTAATAAACCAAACTTACTACGGCATGTATACCTCTAAACTCAGTCTGAACTGAGTTATGAGCATTACAAGTTTGATGATTTTCATACTAGATTTGCTTTTTGTGCGCAAGTTTTGTAAGAAATTGCAACAAAATATTGCGCTATTTTTTTATTGCGCTGATTCTGCTCCACACTATTNAAATCGCCAAACCGAAACAGTAATAAAATTTCAAACAAATCTCTTTGTACAGTCGGCCCATTCAAAAGCAAATCATTTAAAGACACCTTTTTGTTAGTCTTCATTGAACCGTCAAAAACTGTACGTAATTTAGTAGTTTTACTGTCAGGCTTTAAAACTGCATGATGAGGCAAGAAATAAACTGCATTTTTATTCAATTCATACAGTTCAATATCTACATATTGGCCATGTTGCAAGTTAATATAATCATGAATAAATTTTTGGTACTCAATAAAAAGATATGGATCATTATGCAGTTTTTTCTCTAAGTTTAAAAACCTTTTTAAAGCAAAATTAAAGGAATCACCTAGCGCATCATTGATTTCATCAAGAGGTAATTTTAAAGGTAAAGAGACTTCAAAACAATTTTCTTTCATCTGAACAGTACTTTTAAAAATATACTCGCAGAGCTCTTGCTCTGATGACCTTTCATCATAGATCTGAGGAACGCTTTCTGTTTTCCAAAATTTACTTAAAGTTTCATTAATGTCAGACTCACAAGTAGTACACTTTAGCGTTACCTTGTTGCAGGCCTTAGATGAAATGTGTGGTAGGGTACCTCCAATTATGTATCCAAAATAAGTGTTGATAAGACGTGGTTGCGGAGTGCCGGCCTCTGATGCAGACTGCTGGCGCTCAGGCAGCACCGGCAGCTCTGTAGGCAGCAGCACAGTATAAGCATGTAGACTCCTGCGCAGCTGTGTAGGCTACCATCCTACCAACGGCATTGCCTTGCTCCTTTTGCGGCTGGCGTTGCTGCCCGTGGAAGCCCGGATCAGCATTCTCAAGCGCCAGCGCTCTCTTATCCAAGTATTCAAGGAAGGTGTTGATAGTTGGCTCCTTCGTGGCATCTCTTTCCATTTGAAATGCACGTGACGTGTATGCATCTAATTTGCGGTACAAAATACATAATATTATAGCATCCCAAAATGATACGTTTGGCTCCAAATTACTTAAAGCAGATATTTGTTGTTTTACATTGGACACAAATTCTCTTAAATTAACTGCCGTGGATTTTGTGATTGGCTTAAGATCCAACAATAAACAAATATGCTCATTAACGAGTTTGTGTTTGTTGTTGTATCTGTCTTCAATAATTTTAATTGCTTGACTGTAACTTTCACTAGTCAAGGGTAAGTTTTTTACAAGATCTAATGGCTCATTTTTTAAATATGATCGAAGGTAATACAGTTTTTGAACATTGTCAATGGAATCGTTTTGATCTATTAATGAGTGGAATAAGTTTTTAAATGGTACATAATCCGAGAACTTACCACTAAATATTGGTACATCAATTGGTGGTAAATGCAATTTGGACATTGGAGCTGAGTGATTCCTATTATCACGGCTGTTAAGTTCTTGGTCAATTACTGATATGATGTTGTAATAGTTTTCCTCAAAAAGTTCGACATTTTCCTTGTCCTCTGGTTGGATGGTTAAAATCTTTATATTTAGCTTTTCGTATTGACTAAAGGAGTCTATCAATTTTTGCCTCTTAGCCATTAAGTTTTCTTTAGACAAGTTTTTAACTGACTGCGGTGTCGAAACAAGTGAAGTTAATCGTGTAATCGTACCTTTTACGTAGCCTCGCGCGGCTATTAGCTCGTTCAGCTCCATTGTCTTGTCAAATGCAATAAAATACAAATGCTATAAATCACTATGTGGCTTAAAATTACACACTACGAGTATCACTGCACGAGTTATGTCTTTCGACTTAAAAACAATAGCACTGCACACTTTAAGCAAATGGCGTCGGCGGTAAACAGCGTTGACCGATGGCAGCGGAAACAGCCGAAGCAGCAGCGAACAAGTGAACGATGACCGACGAGAGAACGAACGATGTTGTGCGTTGGCCAATCCTCGATGCGCGCGCAAACTTCAGGCAGCGCGAAGATGGATGTCACGCCCACTTCGTGAAGTAATTTGTTGCTGGCCTCGTGTTCCGGCGCCCCCCAACCCGCCGTCTTGCCGGGAATGCCGGGTTGCGTTTGATGACGTTTGATGATTGTTGCAAAACTGACTTGCTTGATATCTTGCAATTTGCTGGTTTTGCACACGATGAACGATTTCTTGCAGTATTGAGTGCGTGTTTCTTAATGCGCACTATGCAGATAAATGCAAATTCCACAAAAGTAGGTAATGCAGGAGTTATATTGCGCGATGATGCGGCTCCCGTTGTTGTATTATGTGTGAATTGCAGGAGTTCTGTTGCGCGATGATGCGGCTCCCGTTGTATTATGAGTGCGATTTCTTGATGCGCATTATATGAATGCAGTTTCCACTGTATTTTTGTAGATATAATTGCAGGAGTTCTGTTGCGCGATGATGCGGCTCCCGTTGTATTATGAGTGCGATTTCTTGATGCGCACTATCGGCACTATGTGAATGCAGTTTTCACGTGTATGTAGGCACAATGCAGGAGTTTTGTTGCGCGATGATGCGGCTCCTGTCCCACTTGATACACAATGGTGCAGACCAGGCAGTTCGAAGCTCGAAGGACCATGTAGGGCAGCGAAATTGTTGTTGTAGGTGTTGTTATTGAAAGGCCGTGGTTTCACTAATTAAGTTTATTGCCAGGTCTGCACAGTTTAATACACACAATCACAAGTGTAATGGCCGGAGTACGAAACGCTACTGGGCGCGAAAGGCGCTCAAATACATACGTCACAAGATCGAACGAATGAAGGAATGAATGAATTTTAGTGTTGGAACCCAACAGTTATTATGATGAGTAAAACTATTTCTTCTAAGAATCAACAAACTACTGAAGTCAAGGAAAAATCTCTCTAGTTAACAAATTCAGCGAATAAAGGTTTTACTTTTTCTCTAGTTTTCAATTCTGGACTTCCGTTTCACCGATCAAAGGCGGTCGCAGGATGAAAAATAGTGTTGTTATCAAAACAGTATCGATAGTTTTTTAATGAGTTCAATGTTTGAAAAGTTTCTAAATTGTGATGATAATGTCTATGTATAATATGTATGTATTTACAAAAGAAAGTATTTAAGTATGTTTATATCCGTTGTCTAGTACCCATAGTACAAGCTTTGCTTAGTTTGGGACTAGAAGCGCAAGTTAAATGTCCAAGGATATTTGTTTAAGGATGTAAAAAAGTTTATAAGTTAAGTAGAAGATGAGCACGATTGTGAAAATTGTCTTTCAGTATTTAAGTACTTGCATCACGGTCATCATCACAACGATATCATAGTCTAGTTTAGTGAAATCACTAGGTATATTAATATAAACCGTTCCGAATCCTAAAAAGGCTTGGACTTTTGATTCATGGTAAATATGATAGGTAGATACATATTGTTTTGAAGTGGGCTCTTATTTCCAGCTTTCCCAAACACACAAGACTTGACACAATTACGAAATTGTACAAAAGGCTACCAACCCAAGCAATATTTCCAGTATCAGGTAGCAATTCGAACAATACCAATTAGTACGAAAATAAGTATTCCATCCATTCTCGTATCTGAATTGTTTGTCTGCATACTATTTATAGCCTTCCTCGTTGAAAAGCGATGATTAAAAATAAAACCTTTATGTGAAATCGCCGGGAATAAATTGTATTTACAGATAAAAATTCTGGAAATACCCCTATTATTTTTTCAATGTGTCTATTTACATTTTGTGCAAATACAGTGGAGGAAGATTTTGGAAGTCCAAAACACCTCCTGTTGAATTAATGTATATGTATTATGATTCTTGGTGGACCGACAACCTCATAAAGGTAGCAGAAAGGCGCTGGATGCAGGCCGCTACCAACCGGCCATTGTGGGAGGCCTATGTTCAGAAATAGAATTCTTAAGGCTGAAATGATGATGATGATGATGATAAGATCCTTGCTGAAAGTAGGTATTTATGGACCGCCCTACATCACTAAAAGGTCTCCAGCACTACGCTCTCCAATATAACTTTACTTAGCTCCGCGTCCGTTTATCCATTTCATCGACAATCTATTGCGATATCGCATCACTATGTACAAAGCAATAAATCTACCGAGTGGCGCGACTCGCGATACAGTTGCCTAACTAACTGCCGACAGTCGATGCTGCGGTCGCCAATGACCCTTGCCCTTCGCATCTGAAGGCTTACGATTTATTTATCTTTTCAGGATATAAATTAGAATCCCGTGATTGTATCTAATTCTTCCTTTAAATTCAGGTCAAGTAACTCCTTTTTAACAGAAGATTTGAAGAAAAGTACGGTTAAGAATAAAAATGGCAATAGCAGTGGACTAACCAATTTTATTTTAGTGACCATTTTAGAAAGAAAGAAAGAAAGACACATTTATTACAATGGACATCACACAAATACAGGCAATTACATAGACATGACAGTGGCACATAATAATGGAAGAAGAAAAAATAAAAACAAGAGTAAACTGAGCAGTGCCACCCATCCACCAACAAGATGCCCACTGCAACGGGACCCCACTCAGCATATGCCGTGGCCCACGGTGACGAAGGCCACGGCGCTGGTTTTCAGTGTGCCCCATGCCGAGTGAGGGTCACGGACCATTGGTAAAAATAAATAAAATACTAAGCTGCATAAAATTGTCTAGATAAACATACATAAATAGTAATATTAGTGCACAGATAAATACAAAAGGCGGTAAATCGGTAAGGATGATAAGACTACGTTTATTAAGAATACTAATGAAAAGAATACTAATAAAAAGATAAAACTGTTTGTATAGGTGTGTGTGTAGTACCTAATGATAAAGTAATATTGTGTTAATGTGTAATATTCGTAAAGAGTGTCTCGACGCCCGCAAAACCGGTTTGTGCAATCGAATGATTGATTGCGCGCGATTAGACAATTTAGTTCATCCCATATTGTTCAGAGCGTTACACGCGTACCCACAAACAAAAAATAAAATAAAAAATAAATAAATTCCAGCAGTATTGGTCGTCTAAACATAAATTTCAATTTCAATTAGTGTCAAATATATAGTTATGATGTCATTAGAATTAAAATAATAATCATGAAACAAGTATTTAATATGGTGTTATAATGGTGATTTAGAAGCAGAGCGAAGGTTCAAGGAACGGAATTAATATGCCCATCTACCTACATTATTTGTTTTGTCAAAATTGTATCCCGACGAAGTTTCTTCATAAAATAACATAGTCCATCGCACGACCACAATTTTTATATGCTAATAAATTCCAGTGACAGTCAACAACATTCTTCGTCTCTTAGCCGTCAGTCGATGTCAATAAGAGTCAAAGTGGTTTAGCGTGACGGAATAAAGAAGAATGTACCTTTTATCAAAGTGGAATATTGGAAACAAGCAAGAAACGTCCTTGATGGCAAGGAGTGGCGTTAATAGTCTATTATCATCGAAAAGTGATTAAAACTTTGCTCTGAGTGCGAAGTAGGGTAACGACACTGTGATGTCTCGTGAAGTTTAACTGCCGCTTTTGTAAACTGAGGTTTATTTTGAACCTTAGCTAAAGTTTGAAGCTTTCTAATCTCTACTTAATTCTGATACCAATGTTGAGATTGGCAGATTAAAGAAAACCTCCTAATGTAATTTTTAATTATAATCTATCTATATAAATAAAAATGAATTGATGAACTCGAGAACGGCTGGGCCGATTGAGCTGATTTTGGTTTTAAAATGTTTGTCGTAGTCCAGGGTAGGTCTAAATCTAAACGGTGAGCAAATAAGGAAAAATTGTGATGGCTTATTTATTGCCTTTAAGGCGGAACAGAGTTCGCCGGGTCAGCTAGTTATAATTCACAAAAAACATTGCTTCAGTTCCTTGCCATAATATCGAGTATCGACGTTTAATTATGGTAGGTACTTGGACTCTGTCATCTGTCAAAGACAGGCGTGAGTTCGACGTGACGTCATCATAACAACAGCCGTTCGAGACAGAGGCTTAACAATTTGATTTAAAAAATAATACTATTAATATTATGGAAATTAAACGCAAGGACATAATAAAAATCGCATCATTTGTTTTTTGTTTTAAAAATATGTATTTACGCGATGAACTTTGCGAATGAATAGCGATTCTATTTCAAGGTCTTCAGTTGAAGCTGTGAATTACATTCTAATTCAAATCGCACCCATTGTTCTCCAAAAACAATGTAGATATTTACAAAGTTGCTCGATCAATATTGGGTGGTATCGACCACCTGTTTATTTGTTATACATCCCGATTAGCCGGCTTCAAAGCCGATGGTTTTGTTGGTTGGAAGTTTTAACGAGATTTTTGAGGTAGACGTGGGGCGTGATGGTGGCGTTGAAATTCGTATCGTAAATTGAGTTAGGCCAACTTAACTTCCAACCTGCCTTGCTCTAAGTAATCCACTTGAAAGCTACATTTTACTTCAAGATGATATTTCGCAGAATATTCGCGAAGATTTCTTTATTACCGCACTTTGTTCGGGATGGCCCTAAAATGCTTCAGCCGAAATAATTAAGTGGCAATCTCAAGTTTTTACCCACTTTTGTCTTTTGGAGTTTGTCAGACAAGGATAAGTTTTGGATTATGCGTGAAAATTGTAGTTAGGGAGGAGAGCTAGGGATTGTTAAATATTTTTCAACATTTTTTAGCGTTAACACTTCATAATTAATTCGTTAATTTAAAGTAAGGGCACAGTAACCAAGTTTTAAAATATTTAGGGTCTAAGTACAGAATTTAAAACCTTTTAAGTCTTTGTTAGGTATATAAAATGGGCTAGCTGAAATAACAAGCTATACGCTTAGGCGTCTGATTAGTAGAAATATTTTCATTTCATTAGCATAACAGAAGACAATTCTAAAATTATGCCAAAATTACCTCCAATTATTCCAAGTAATTGAAGTCCATTAGAGTTTAGATGACTTGAATTAATTCTGCCGACCAAAAAAACTTGCTAGCAACAGTGAACCTACGTGATCCGCAGTTCAATGAGGCTAGCTTCACCGGAAAAAATATATTTTCGTTTTCCTTGTTTTCCCAAGCTAAAAATAGTTTTTACGCATTAAGAATCCAGATTTTTGGTATCAGCTCTACGGGAAATGTTTTTTATTATGTATATCATCAGGTTATTCAGTATCCATCTTAGGAGCACGATCCTGTCTAATTTACCAAAGGATAAGGAAGACGTAGTCTAAATTCCCCATGCGTTGGGGAGGACATCAGTCAATATGTCGTCATGGGGGAAGAGGTGGTGGTTCCTATTCTTATGTACTTTTTGTATTTTTAGTGTTTAAATCAAATAGTAATACTTCGTACTACACATAAAAA